GCCTCCCCTGTGCAGGGCTCTGCCACAGGCCTGGAGAGGCTCCGAGCATCCTAGCCGAGTTTGCTCCCCACCAAGCGTGTGTCACCTGGTACAGAACGGCACGTGGGTGTGATGAACAACGAACACGGGAAATGTTCTCTAGGGAGGCACTGAAACCACACTCCCAGGGCAGGACCAAGCCAGTGGCCAAGGCCCAGGCAGGGGCGACTACACCAGAGGGACAAGGGAGCCAGGGAGGGATGAAGTCTCAGTGGGGGGGCCACCTGGAGGGGTCAGAACAGCAGCTCAGGGCGCAGGTGCGTGTGGTAACGTCCTCAGCAGAAGTGATGAGTTCTGTTATTTTAGTAACTTTAATGAGAAGGGAACAGGGAACCCTCTTTTACCATGTGCTAGACACTTTACATCTATTATGTAATCTTGATTCTGACCAAATCCTGTGAGGTAGGAAGTATTATTCCATTTACAGGTGAGGAAATGGAAGCTTTATTTAAATTTAACTCTAATTTAACTCCAGTCTAACAAAGGAGGTTAATACTGTCTTGGAGTAAAAGCCAGGATGAGACTATTAAATAACGAAGCCAACTTTCAATGAGGCTCATAAGCCATAAATTCACCTTGAAAAGTATTTACAAGCCTTAAATTTACGTTCACAGGAAAATGGAGAAAAAAAATTAATCATTTTTATTAGTTCAGTGACAAGTCTAAAAACAAAAGCCAGAAATGTACTCACTGTTTCTAACCACTGGTAAGTTTAAAAGACCTCTTTAGTTTTTCTTTCTTAGAGGAATAAAATTCAAGTGTAAAGTTTAGGTCCTAATACTATTACTTATTCACAATTAATGTATGACATCTGTGGTTATTTTTAATACTTTTGATTACAAAGAAGATGAGAACACTATAAAACATGATCATATCTTCCAGCATACCCTCTACTGCAACAATGTATCAGTAGAATTTTCAAGACAATGATACAGATACTGCCTGTCTATTCCATGTGTCTCCAAGTGCCCACCAAAAACAGAGCATAGTGCTCAATTCATCCAAGACTTGAGTGCCTACAGCCTCCTGGGCATGTGCACTCCAGGTGGGTCAGTCACCTGTCCACACATCCATACGTCTGCTGTCATCCCTGCATGAAGTGAGGGCTTCTCAGCGTGGAAAAGAGAAAGCTACACACTTTCCTCTATGCAGTTACTTGCTAAATAGACAAGAATAGGAGGATTTTCATGTTCTGTCTGATCTAGGTTAAAAGTGACTTAAAAGATAAAATAACCAAATGTAATACACAACCCTACACTGGACTATGACTGGGCAAAAATGGTGATAAAAACATCCTTGGCACAAGGGAGGACATTTGGAACAGACAACCTTAGGGGAAAGTCTGGAATTACCAATCCTCTCAGGTGGTATTAGGATTCTGTAGACTGTACCTTAAGAGAAGTGTGCTCCAGTGTTCACAGGGAAGCATGCTGGTATTACAGCAACACACACGTGCCACACACACAGATGAAGTGCTTGCAGTTGTTGAATCTAACGGAAGAGTAGTGTTCATTTTCTGAACAGCTCTATAGTTATGAACATTTTCATGACAAAAAGTTTGGGAGAAACTATTACGATGAAAATATAAAATTTAATTCTCAAAGAGAAATCTTACACAAAGACCCCCAGTTGAGAAGTATTGATTTAGAGAATTTTTTTGTTTGTTTACCTTCCAGCGTGTTAAAAAAAAAATAACGGGATACCCCAACTGCAGGAAACAAGCTATCAGTCCTTCAACCATAATGACTGGGAATAACTGCAAGTTTGACATTAACACACAAGGATTGAAAGGAAAGGTCTAGCAAGAATTCAAACACCAATTCAAGTATCTTTCATGTCTCTCTCTCTCTCTCTCACACACACGCACGTCTCACTGTGGAAATCTGAACGAGCTCCGTGGGCTCCACCGATGCCCGTTTCCCGCGCCCTGCTTGGGCCTGAGCCCTGCGGGCAGACACGGGAACAGCGCAGCCTCGCCTGCTATAATCAATCCCGGATTCAGGTCAGATCCTTAGCTTGCTCAGTTTTGTGTAGACTTCAGCTACAACACTGTGCCACAGTCGTGCAAGATGTTACCACTGGGGAAACCTGGGTGGGGGATACGTGGGGCCTCCCTGTACACTTCTCTGCAAATTCTTGTAAATCTGTAATTATCTCAAAAACAAAAACAACACATTATAGACCTCAAGTCCTGGTCTTGGCCAGTTTGAACATGTCCTTAAACCCTTCCCACAAAAGCAATCAGACAAATGACAAGCTTTCTTTAAAAAGAACCCTTCAAAACCCTAAAGATAATCAATTCTTAAAATAGTCCAAGCCCAAGAAGAAACAAAGATGTTTGCACACCTCGAGCAAATAAGTGCCTGCCTCCCAGACCCTGTAGGTCCCCGGAGGTCAAACGTGCACCCCAGACTGCTTGCGTCCCAGGGTCACCTAGCCACGTGAAGCAGGCAGAACAGCAGCTTACTGATGGCCGGGGGGGGGGGGGGAGGTGCGGCCTCACACATCCCTCCCACACCTGCCATTCTTCTGGCCCCCAAGCCTCAGGAATAAGTAGTAGCCTTGATCTCACCTAAGGAACAGGCTCGAGAGGCAGGGCGAGTCCGCGCTTCTTCACAAGAACAAGCAGCCCTACCCTCCTGCCCCCGAGAGGGCACTGAGGGCGTCAGAGCGCATGCACAGCCCCCTCACAGCCCCTCCTGCCGGCGCTGAGGCCAGGAACATCAGGTGCAGCTTGGTCCCTGCCAGCCTGCGCCCTCCTGCTCCCTGGTCCCGCCCAGGCCGAGGCCTCCAACTTTGTAAGAAGAGCTGAGAGGCCCTTGGGGTGGGGGGCGGGGGAGTGAGGGGCCTGTTTTGCAGGGTGCCGGCTGCACAAGTCCTCCACCCACAATCACACCTGCTTGGGGCGCTGGCTGCGCCCCGAGCTACAGCACTGAGGTCACGGTAGGAAAACAGCACCAGAAACATCGCTGAGAGCCCAGTGTGGGAAGTGGCTGGTGCGTTTGTATCTGTTCTGGAGACTCACCATCTCGTTCTCGTTTTAACTGAACAATGGAGTCTTGAAAACGCATTTGTCCCACATTGCCTGATTTTTCAGGCAAGGAAACATCTTTTGTATGCAACTCACCGGAAGTGTCTACGACACACACGAGTGTGTGTTTTACAGCCAAGCTCACAGAGACATGACTGGGAGGAAACGCACCAGAGCCCCAGCGACAGTGACTGTACGTGGTGGAGGATGAGGATCGAACCTGCCTTTAAACTTTCCTCTGTTTTACACTTTTTCCTACACAATGACCGTGTATTATCGCAGACTTACGGTCAGAGCTGGGCTCAGACGAAGAGGGTGTCCACGGAGCCGACAGCCTCACTCAGATCCCCCGGCAGCGCCAGCCAGGGCAGCATAGGCTGAAGTGAGGGGAAGACCTCAACTCTCGGGACGTGCGGATGCTTCACAGAATTCCCAAAGATCCCGTTTAAAATGGTACCACAAGTCTGCCCCTAACCCAGTCAGGAAGGGTGCTGATAAAGGCCGCAGGCCACAGCGCCCCCACCAGCAACCTGCACAGCAGCGTGCACGGAGGCCTGGCGGGGAGGGCCACGGACTAGCCCACTCACAGAGCACTTCAGCACAGTCAGAATTTGCAGCCCCTCCACCACTCTGTAAAGTAATCTTAAAATTCACATTTAACTGGAAAGAATCCAACTTCCGAAGGAGCTGCACACAAGGCAGGATCACAAGAATGCCAAGAGAATCGTCCCGGATGTTACAAGGACCTTGGGGCCCGCTCGACCACGGCACCTTCTCATTATAAAACATGACAGACGAAAGAGGGCATCAGAGTGGTCGCCTCAAAAAACATCACGTCTTCAAACACTGGCTGCCCCATGGTCCAGAGACGATGTTTTCTAATTCTTACTTAAAACACACATATACTGGAGACGGGCGTGTTACTGGAGAGCGAGGGAGAAGAGGGCGGAGAAGGCGCCCACCCAGATCCCTCAAGATCACCCCGAGATCAGTGTGGCCATTTTCTCCCTCGACAGCCCCCAGGCTCGGGGACACTATGCTTGATTTATAGAGACCCCAAATCCCCAAGATTACTGTTAGCTCTCTCTGGAGTCTGTGATACCTGATGGAAATCTTATAATTAGGCACATTAGAAGCAATCCTAAGAGTGTAAAGTAAAATTTCAGATGACAGTAATTTGAAATTAGATGGATTTAGTTCATCATAACCTATGGCTATTTTTTTAAACTAAATGTGGACGCAGGCATAAATGCGTACCTGCACACACACACACAGGCACACACACGCTGACTTTTCGTCAGACTTCAAATTTCTCCTCTTTCCCATCTAATGCTGCACAGTGAATCCTCATGTGACCATGTCAAGAACTATTTTTTGCTACTAAATTTTGCCAACAATCTGCTCAGCATTCTAGCAGATGTTTCTGCTCTCAAACCTCTGGGAACTTGGCTGGATCTGTTTTCTTTCCCCATGTTAAAAATAAAAGAAATGGCCCAAATGTGGCCTAATACCCTAGAGAAGCTGTTCCCCGCCCACCCCCTCAACCACCCTATTCATGTGACCCCCATGATCCCTCCTCAAGTCTCCTCTCCTCCATTAGAGATGTTTCCAATTACGGTCCATTATGTTGCCAAGGATGACATCACTCAGATGTGCTTTAAAAAAAAAAAGAAAGAAAGAAAGAAAATGCTACTGATTCTTAGTTACTTGGGGACCATCTGCAACAACTTAAGCCAGCTAGTCTGCTGGACCTTGTGAACCCACACTGCCACACGAGGGCAATTTGTTCAACATCGATTCTCCAAACAGAACAATTACTCTTAAATTGGGGGCTGGAGGGACGGGGGATTCCTGTCTTTTATCTAACGATTTCTTTAAAAACATTTGTGTTTTTAACCCAGCCTTTCCCAGTGTTTAAATCCAGCCTTACCTCAGTGACATCCATAACTTTGATGGCTGCCAGTTGACCTGTTTTAACATGTCGACCCTGAAAAACAGAAAAAAGGAAGAGAATCAGCACTGCTGTTGTGCACAGTCATCAGAGGGAGGGCGAGGACGCAACACATCGTCTCTTCTACACTCTCTCCCACAAGGGGTGGAACTGCCCCATGCTCTCCAACGGGGCAACACGGTTCTGCTGGTCTGTGAGACCTGTGAACCATACTTCATAAACCAAACAATTAACAGAGGAAGTGAGTTCTGACAAAGAATCAGTTCCCTCTTTCTTTTCTGGGTTTAATTTATGCATCATGACCTCTCAATCTGAACAACTTAGTGTTTCCTTCTGTACCTCAGGTTGACTGGTCTTCCCTTCTCAATGCTCCATGTGAAGAAAATGACCAAAAAAAAGGGTAGACACTGTCAAGAATGGGTAACAGTCCTATTTCCCTAGT